GGCGCTTTCTTCGACATTCTCGATATTCCAGTTCTCCCGAAGGCTATACGCTACGTTACAACTGCAAGAAGAAGAAAAGGGAAAGGCTTTCCACCCTCTAAGGCTGGCCCGCTTTGTCGCAGCGCAATGTCTCGTTCGCTGTGCACGTCGGCGTAGCGCCGTTCCTGCTGCCGATTATGACGTGGCCGCCGCTGAATGGTGCCTCGCACGAGGAAACTGCTGGCGTCGCGGCACGATTTTGTCGTTTGCAACTCAGCCAGGTTACGCTCACCTGCAGACCGATTAAGCGATTCGTCCCGTGGCGTGAATGTGTAGCCCGTCTCTCGCAGGGAGCAAATAATATTGAGCCGTCATTTTTGAGAGCGACTGCGCTTCGTCCGTTTAAGCGCCGAGAAAACGCCCGTTGAGCTGCGTAAACGTCGGCAACTGCAAGAGTTTCTCCGCCTCGTTGGGCTGTTTCTCGTGACACTGACGAGAAACAGCCCAACTCCCCTTTTCATTCGTACGCTGTGTAAAGGCGTACGAATGAAAAGGGTAGAGTGGATATACCTGTAATGCTCGCATCGAGTAGAGCTAATCGTTAAACAGCCCATGATCATTGGATTCGCGCCGACAAATGCCACTAAACACCGCTTCGGTTTACGCTCAGCACAAGTCTACTTTTAAGCTGTCTTCGTATATGTGGCCTACACTTTGTCGGAGGTGTGCGATATTTCACAATAAACCGAGAACATTTGTCCGGCAACGACAGCACGGATATTTAAGTAGCGTGTCGGTTGCGCCCTCTTTTGCCGTTGGTGACACTTTGCTCAGTGCTACAGTAGTGAACTGCAAACGGCATGTGAGCGCACGCAGGAAAAGAAGCGTCACGTGATACGGGCTCGGCTGTGTACGGTGTGGTAACCGACAAAGGCGAACCGAAAGCTCCCTTACAAATGAACGAACGAACTTCACTGCGGAGTAACGATAAACGCGTCACGTATATGAAAGAGAGATGATGGTGTCTGTTCCGAAAGAATACGGCCGTGAATGCCCCGACAGTAACCTATACCAAAGACTGTGAGCAGTAAAGATGCGGGCGGAGACGCGCCAACTGACTGCCACGGCAGGGAACTACGGGGGCGAAGCTTATTGAGCGGACATCGTATGGTGCGTGTGACGCGTGTGTAATGTTAATTAGAATGACGTAAAAACGCACCTTTCTGGGCGAACGACTGTGAGGAGCGAAGAAGGGGGCCCGGACCCGATCGTCTGGCTGCATCGAAGGTCAGAGGAACGTTTTGTTTTGTTTCCCTGGGAGGTTGGCTCATACCCACTCGGGGGGATTGGCCAAGAAAGTGTAGTGCAGTTTTTCTGTGATCATTTTAACTATGTGTAATGAATTGGTATTATAATAAGACCTATAAACAACCTAAAAAGAGCAAACGAAAAAAAAATCAAGTTGAGCAATTTTGAGATTTGAGGTGTTATGATTACCACTCAGCTGCGTTTACTTCACTCTGCCCGGGGGAGTAATAAATAATTTTTTTTTGATTGAAGATCGCAAAGGTATACGCTTGGTTGCCTGAATATAATCGCAAACGGCATTGAAAGCATCCCTGTGGCAATGTCCCAAAGCTGAGGCGCCAAAGCTTAGCGCCGTTTCCGCCGTCAATGTAAGGCCTATTTTCCGAAATGGCATAACTAGTAACCTTTTTCTAAGTATCTCGTAGCGGCGACAATACAAAAAATAATGATCTAGTGATTCCATTTCTCCGCAGAATGCGCAGAGGGGTGATGTTGTCTGACCAGCTCTGTGTAGATACAGGTTTAGGGAGGGGGGGGGGGGGGACACGACATCGAAATTTAGTAATTAAGACTTCGAGCTTTCTGGACTGACTCCAGTGGGGTTGCCATGGAAACATGAGGTGGTTATAGTCTGTCCATGTAGTTACTTTTTCTATCGTATCAGTGGAGATTGCTGATTTTCGATATCTTATTGCCGTGATATATTCAACATCTGGCAGAATGGACAAAACTGCCCAACAAGTGTGGCTCGTGCTAAGGAATCGGCCAATTCATTTAATCTTAATCCACACTGTCCCGGTACCCATAGTAATCTCAGGAGTCTCAACTGCGGGGGTACTAATGTTTTGAATGTGCTTAGAATTCGAGAGTTCTCTGAAGCTGTCTGAGCGAGCCAGCGCCCGTGGCTCGTGCCCGCCGCCTCTTCTTCTTCTTCTTCTTCTTCTTCTTCTTCTTCTTCTTCTTTTATTTGTAACAACGACTGCATACAACTTCCCCAAGGTCTATGAAATCTGTACTTGAGATGAAACTCTTATACGTATGTAGCGTCGAAAGTCGCATATGACCATACTGAGGGTAAGCTGTGAATTTCGAACAATTGACAGTTGGTCGGAGTTGGTGCTGCCTGAAGATGTCGGTGTTGTAGCGCAATGAAGAAGATTCAAGGAACGAACGTCGCTGTCACGTGAAGGTGATGAGCCTTTAGCGCTGGCACTCGCCCACAAGGGGGGATCGGCCAAGAACTGGGTGGCAGGATGATCAAGTGAGTTAGTTATGCATTTGAAATCATTAAATGGAATTTTAGTATAGAGCAAAAACAAATCGTAAAAAATGTATGGAAATGCTACACGAGCTAGCAGTCAGGCATTTAGGTAGTCTCAGAGCCGAAAATATTAATACTAATATACTAACAAGGTAATCTTTTTGTTGCCATTATGTACACACACACAGCAGAGCCAACCTTCCTGTGGCTATAACCTAATGTAATCCCTCCGAAGCATAAAATTACTGCCACGTTTATTTTTAAACCTAGTTTCTCAATTGGTTCGATCAGGTATCTTTTTTTTTTTTTGATAAGAATATCGGGGACGGAATAAAAATAACTGATCACTTCCTGCCTTGTGTTTTTCTTCTTTTTTTTTTGCGTTGCCACATCACGATGTTTGAACGTCCTGGCGCAAATTACGTAGGTGTTCCAGGTAACGCAGTTTTTCCCCACACTAATGCCATGATGAGAACCATTTGAGCACAAGAATGTGTACAGCCCCAAGTTGGGGGTGGTTTTCTATAAATGAAAAAAATAATAATAGTTGCTAGATCAGGTTTGCTTGCCGACGGGCTTGCGTTTCCAACTGTAAAGTTAACGAACCTACTCAAAAGTTCGCTTATTTGCGCACAAAGTCTGATATCCGCCACACTACGACTATTGGAAATAATCGTTGTCTCTAATCCTTGGAAGTCCGTTCGTGGCTGCAGCCATGCCTTCGTTTTCCCGTGCACTGCGCATGCGCTAATCCAGGAAAGTTTTTCCGCAATCGGTGTGCGCATACTTATCGCGTTCTGCGCTGTATGCCCAGCCAACGGCGCAAAGAGAAATGCGTATAGCCGAGCACACCTGCATTTTTTCGGCGGAATTCCGAGACGTACACTCGAGCGAGCCTGTCGGGAGGCCAGCGCGGGCCATCGCAGTGCAGACGCGGAAATTGTGCCACGAGGCTTTTTTTGTAGCCCGCGATGCGGTGTTGTGCCCGTTTTTGTATCCTTGGGACGTTTGTGGGTGGGACAGGCCCTCCGCTCCGCCGCGTATACAACTTCACGTATACAGCTTCGATTTTGAAGGTCGTTGCGAGGCAGGTCCGGGCCGGGACCCAAGGCGCAGTTCAAGGCTGGTCGCCACTCGGCGGCAGCGGGACGGGAAACGCGGAAGAATGCACATCCTGCAACGGCGACGCGATGCCGTATCTAACTTTCGCCGCGGGCATTTGAAAAGGGTTGCCTGCCTGCTTGCTATACGGCAACGGCGCATTCGGCTTCATGCACGGAATCGGTGTGCCGCAACCTCGTCGTATATACTTTCCATTTGCGTATGGAAAATATACGGCCCGAGACTGCAGCAATAACAACATAAAGTCGCGCAGCAGCAGAACAGTTGGAACTATGGCGTCGTTGTGTTTGTAAGCTATTAAACTCAGCTTTAAATTTGAAGTTACCGCTTGACCTATAGTCGTGTTCTCCCTTGCGCTGTTTAGGACACCCACAAAACAAAGAGGTAAATGCTCGCGCTATAGGAGGAAAAGTTTTCCAGAAACTAGAAAATTACTCTGAATTCTAAAAAAAAAAAAGATACTACTCCGTACGTCTGCTCAGTCATACGCGAATTTCTCGTTCAGTCATATGCGAATTTCTCGTTGGCACTAGAAGAATCCCCTTAATATTATTCCCTATCAAATTTGCTACATCAAAAGTCCTCTGGTTTATTAATTTTTCTCATTATTACATTCTATATAGACAAGACGTTTTTTTCATTTATTCCTGTGATTATAGATTTCTTCCTCGTCCTTTTCGCAAAAAAAATCAAAAAAGAAAAATCTCGTTTACGTTAATGCCCCGTAGTGGGTAGGAGCCACAACAGCCAGCCATGAGCTAGAAGGGCGCGCACGAGTTATGCTAGGACACGTCGACGACCATACTCAGTGCAGCTGCATCCTTAGCTTGGTCATAAGAAGCAAAGCAAGAGGCTCATCATACTCATCATCAAGATACGTGGCAGCAGCCGTGCCTGTGTAACTGATCCTGGCGACCCGGTGAGTACCCCGCCTTCCTTCGCCGCCTTTCCAGCTGTTGCCCCTCTGCCCACCGTATACTTTTTGGAACCTGCCTGCGCAAAGAGGCTGTACAGAGTTCTTCTTTTCGGCTGCTGCTTGGCATCGTTGCAACAAGTGGTCAATTGCGTGTACTCGAGCTTCTTCAGCATCTTTCGTTCCGACGTCGTGTTCATCTCGCGCCGTTCTGTGCGCCTCTCTCTAGCACCCCCCTCCATTTTTTTCGTCTTACGTATATGGAATACTTTGCCTTTTGAATCGCGGCTAGACGAATTGTGTGGTCACTCTGTTCATTCCACGCACTTTTTTTTTTTGAATTTCAGCGCCGCCTGTCTGTGTCGGCAGTGAGGTGTTTCGTCAGATTTACTAAATGCGTCTTCCAAACTTTGGCAGGAACTCACCGTTACCGATGACACGGTCCTGGAGGAGCACAATGAAGACCCCTGTCTGGTTCAAATGCGCCTCATTGGCGACGGCGGTAAGTCTGTGCCTTCCTTTTTTTTTTTTTTTTTGCCCCCGCTGCCGTGGTCACTGCGGGGAATAGAGCATTTCGTTAACCGTGCTGCGTTAGCGATTGTGAGACGCTGTCTGCACTTGCATGCTGTTGATGCGAACCTTAAAATGTCGCCACCCCGGAAGCAATGCACTTGTACCACACGGCCATTTTTTTGTAATTTAACCGACCATTCAGCTTCAGGGTACACTACATTCGAAGAACGCCGAATCTTGATTATTATTGAGGTCGAATGGTCTGATAGATTAGCACGGTCGTCAAGGCTGGTGTGTCACGCGGATGTAGTGCGTTATTATTATTATTATTATTATTATTATTATTATTATTATTATTATTATTATTATTATTATTATTATTCGTGTTTGCTTTCTTGTGGTATTCCCTGTTCTCGCTTCATTTTTTTTACGTTTAGTTTGTGCTAGCCGTTGTTGCTCTTTTCGCAAATGCTTTAAGGTTAGTGCTTGGAGCGTTTGTTTTCTCAGTCTTTTTTTTTTTGTATTTCTCTCTCCTATCCTTGCACTTTTAACATAGTTCCACACGTTGTACGAGACGTTTTCCTCTCCCTTGTGCTTTCACCTCACCCCGTTTCTTGTTGTGTGTACGAACTGCTTTTATACCAACCTTGCTCCGCTACATATCTGGCGTTAATCGAGTGTGCCGTGTCATTATTACTTTTTGTTTGCTAATTTTACCGTTCTCTTATTTTATTCGTTCGTATTTCCCCCTTTGGGCAGTCTTAATTCTCATCTAGATTTTTTTTTTTTTTACTATTTGGTGCTCCAGCACTAAGACCGCTGACCCATCTCAAACAGTGGTCGACTGTGCAGTTATTTACACGTGTGCCAGCTTTTGTCACTCGCTCGCATGCATTGGTAGCCAATGGCTTCTTTCGTTAACAGTCCCAGCCTTAGCGCAGAAAACCGAGAAGCCCTGTCAACTCTTTTTTTTTCTTCTCCATTGTGCAACTTATTCGCCATTCGTCTTACTCCAACTACATAAACGCGCTAATGACAATTATGGGATTATGGAGATTATTTTGATAATATGAAGTCTACACTTTCATGGAGAATGGTGCACCACATCGTTGTCAGAGCTGAATATGCCGTATTAGTTCTATTTCGGTTTTAGTAACGTACGTGTATTCGACATGGCCCGCAACATTGAGCAGTTTACAGCGGTATTCGCAAGCGCGCTCGAACACGTACTTTCACGTGTGTCTGTTACCACTCGAAAAAAAAAATTTTTTTTTTTTTGAATGCGCCCACGGGACTAAATAAACTTCAGTGTTGCGGGCCAGTTGCGAGTACGTACAAGTTACAACAAAACAGGAATATAAAAAGAATAATCGCCTCTTATGTGCTGAGAACGATCTGTCCATTATTCTTCACGAAAGCGTACATTTCATAAACCGAACTGATTAAGCTAGATGAAAAAAAAAAAATGTCATGGTTAATCCTTCATGTTGTTACGGTAAAGTGCCTGTCGAATTGGGCTTTATATTCAAGCGGGAATCACTCTACTATCTGGCTCGCATTTCCGGTTCCGCTTTCCATGTGTATACAAGCGTATATTGACCATAATTATCAATAAACTCGACTGAACTTGATCTCTGATAGCCACTTACTCATTTCGTGCGACGTCTGAACGGAATGAGCTGTTCTTTAGCGAATCCGCGTTTGGTGAACGTGACTTAGTGCGCAAACATTCACAGAGGAGCGGCAAAAGGAAGTGCTATACTTTAGCTATACTAACGAAATCGGGATTCGATAGAGGTATATACGCCTTGTGTAGTATTCTGCGTTTATTACTTCCGCAACCAAGCATCCTAGGTATTTCGAAGGCGAGAGCTTCCCGACGCCGGTTTTACGAATTTTTCGGGTTAATAGCCGCATCACGCGAAACGTAGATACTGTGGGGGGACGTTTGGAAAGGCGTACTGATTTGAATCACTGGAGTGCTTATTTCGACAGTTGTATATGGCTCGGGCAGCTTTGTGATATCGACGAGAGCACAGTTTAGTGTCAGGTTTCCTACACGAGGTGCCGGCCATGAAACAGCGGGGCCTCGCATGTTGACCCTGCCGGCCGGCTACGTGTTGGATCCCGCGATTCGAAGCACGCACGTACGCTTCATTTTGAGCCGCACGAAAGTCGAGCAACCGTGACGTGAGCGATGGGGAGAGCAAAATACGCTCTGGACTGAGTCCAAACTTTGTAACCGAGTCACCGACGACACGCGAGACGTCATTCAGCCGCGGGTCTTTATTGTAGTGTCTTTTAAGAAATACGGCCCAACGTCAGTCTCTGAATTAGTTGCCAAAGCGGGATTCAAACGGACTTCAGAAAGAAATAGAATTTCCCGTTTGTTGTTCTTCTTTAAGATAGTTAATGGTCGAATAAATAGTACCACAGGTGAATACTTGAAGTTCTCTTCCGGTTACTCTACCAGACAACGTCACAAACACACTGTCGTTCCTTTCCAGCCCAATAATAATACTTTTTCCGCGCACTGCCAAAAAATGGAATGAGCTTGACAGCAAAATTATTGAAACAGCCAGTATCGGGGCATTTGAAAAATTTATATGTGACTAGCTAAACATTTTTTATGTTGTTTGAAGTGCTTTGTTCTGTGTTGACTGCAGTATTGTACTGTTGATTTTGTTGTACTATGTACACCCACTCTGCTATGGCCCCACGTTGGGGCTAGCAGTATTGCTAAATAATAAATAAATAAATAAATAGTATACATCCGAAGTATAACGTTTCTGCGTCATGTCGGCAGTGCCCATTTGGACGGACGCTGTTTCCGTGAATACGTGCAGTCTATATTTGCGAGCTGTAATGCACCTTTCGAGTAAACAGTGATACGAGAATGTTGCTTTAACGAGGGCTTCATGCCCCTTGCCGGTCATAACGTTTAAGAGCTGAACGTATGTAGATAAATATTTGTTTAGCGAGCTTATTTAGCGAGAATTTTTTTTTTTCCAAACGCAGAATGGGTGTAAACGAGATATCTAAGCTTCGGGAAATGAGTCCAGAAAACTTAGCGAAACGTATTGCTATTTAATGCTCACCACCGGTACTGCAAAAAAAAAAAAAAAAAAAGACAGTGCTTTGATATTTGAATCGAGAAGTGAATGCATTTACGTTAAACAACGCCAGGTATGGAGCCCTCCACTATACGGCGTCTATCATAATTAAAGGGCAGATTTTCACCCACTAAATCGTCCGGTTTTAGGCGCCAAAAAAAAAAATGCGTGGCGAAAACAGTTTTGGGCCCCAAAAACTGCAAATATGGGCACAATAATGTTTTACAAAAAATGTAAATTTTCGAAGAGAGGCGTGCCCCACCGGTGTCTACAAGAAAGCATCCAAAAAAGAGAAATGTTGTTGTTTACGAGGCCACAAACGCGCCGATGGTTTAGCGTAGCCATGCAATTGTCCTTTTTTTTCCGCACGGTTTCTCGGTCATATAGTCTCTCCTTTCGTTGTCCAGCATGGTGAGTTAGTGTCCACCGACGAATAAACAGGATCCTGGGGGTCTCTGTTTTTCCGGCATGGCTAGGAAGGGCAAGCGCAAATAGCCAGACCGCTAAGCAACGTATTAGCACAATAACGAGGATTGACACATTCAAAACGACTAAAAGTGATGACTATTACTGACGGCGCCGTCGAGGGCGTTGAATGCACGCTTGGAAAGGGAATAATGGTGCTGCAATCATGTATTTTCGGAAAAAAAAAAAAAGAGCGATGAGGGTCACGTTGGCTGAGCCGAGTGGAAGGCTTCGCCACTTGGCGAACCACCCAACTGCCCACGAGCCCAAAGCATTTTCGCCTCCATCGAAAATGCCGCCGCTGCTGCTGGGATTCGATCCCGCGACCTGCGGGTTAGCCGTCCAGTGCCATAACCACTATAGACAAACAATACGGGGCAAGGGTTTGAGTGTATTGTATTGCAGGTCGAAAACGTGCGCAAATCGCTGCACATTTCGTCGGAGATTCGTGGAATTTTAAACTTGAAGATGATTTCGACCCCACGATTTGTTATTTAGTTTGCGAACTGAGTGCTTGCAGATCGTAAGTTGCATTATTACCGCATTTAGAATTATCGTAAATTTAGTGAGAACGCAACCAGATTTGTTCAGATTGAAGAAGTAGCGTTATGTGCCATGGACGCACCCTTTCCTTACTGAGCAAAAGAAAGGCGCTTGCAAGTCGAGCAATCGGATAAGCCCGGACTAAGGTCGAGACAGCCCCTTATCGACTGCATTCTTTCCAACCAGTTGAGTCAAGTCAATCTAGTCAAGCTCGGTAAGGACCACATCATGTGACATGTCTTATGGTACGTCAAGTAAAAGACCTGTGTCTAGTAAATGTTAGTCGAACATCTGGACACAAAGCTGCTCGTTTTGCTCGAGGGATGGTCCCTTTCGTCAGAGCGAATGCACGAACAGGGCCGCTTCGCACACAGTAGTGCCTAGGCACGTCCAATACATTGCTGCAGTTACGTTATGCCTCCATCACACCTCAATGTTAGTCGTCGTTGTTATCGGGCTTGCTATCCGTTACGTTTCACCGCCAATTCCGATAGAAGGTCATCTTGTCGAAAACAAACGAGCCGTTCTCGCTGGCCGCAGTGCCATCCGTGTAGGGTGCAGTATGTTTGACCTTGGAGTGACCTTTAGCGTCGCTGCCACCCGAACCACTGCTCGGGGCTTTCAGTTTCTTTGCCGCGCCCTGGTCGGACGGGGCGGAGAAAGACGGCTCAATGTAAATATGTAGACAAGATGCTCGGTCTCGGTGGTGCAGTGATAAGATAAAAAAAAAAGTTCTCTTAGTTGTCTCTCGCTTGCCGCGATGATGGCGAATGGAAGGGGGAAGATTTTTTTCTTTTCTTTTCGTCTATTCACTCTGCAGCACGCGAAAACGCGTATCGAAATTCGGTTGTGTTTGTTTCCTGTCGGCGGGTTTTGTTGACGGCCGAGGAGGGGGACAGCGCTCTAATCCTTCGGGAGAGCACACACTGCAGAGGGTATCTTTCTTTTTCCCCCGCATTCCTGAGAGGTGGGAGAGAACTGACATGCAGGAATGGTGGTGACGGAGGCGCAAAGGGCGAGTGGATCCAGCTATTTCCTGCGAGCGGGGAGCGGTGCCCATTCAAAACAACCAAAAGCAGGCAGCAACGCGAATGATGACGACGTGAAAGACGAAATGGGACGGAGGGAAGGCGGTCAAAAAAAGAAAAAAAAAAGAGAGAGAGAACGAGTATCAGTGGGGAAGGGGGGGGAGCGCCTAAACAGAGGGAGGAGGGCGCTAGTGCAGCCGCCACAGGGGCATTTGCGAGCGCAGCAAAACAAAACTTCGAGAAAAACCTATAGATAAGCGCGGCAGTGCCTGGAAAGAGTCGGCGTCTCCAGGGAGTACCAAGCAGGTTTTTCTCGTTGAGGATTCTCTCTGTCGCTCCCTATGCCCCCCCCCCCTCCCCCTTACACACCCCCTTTGGAGTGTTGTCTGGAGAAATTCGGCGCAGAGGCGGCTGTAATAGAGAGCTTTTTATTTCTTCGGTCTGCGTGAGGGGGGCAAGTCCACTGGTGGTTTTTTGCTTCGCCTTACGTCTCGGCGCGCTCTTCCGGCTCACCTGCTTGCTCAGCGGCCGAAGAGAAAACGAGTTTTGCGTTGTCTATGTGATCACACATCGTGGGAAGGGGTTTGCGGCCACTGATGCTCTGCGGGAACGGGACTGCCAACGGCTCGCTCGCTGTTCCGTTCTCAACTTGGCCGCCAGCGTACGGGAAAACGCCTTCTCGTGCATCATCGTCTGTGTGTCTCGAAACATAAATGAAGCGCTACTTTTTTTTTGGTACGCTCTCCACGTTAGAGGCCGGAGAACGGCGTATCGCTCTTATCGCGTCTTTGTCCACTTGGACGGGGCCAGAGTTCGGGTCAGTCGTGGCGGTCGGGCAACGCCCGCGGTGCCAGATGTGCTCGGCTGACAAGGTTAGATGCGCGCAGATTAGCCGCCTTGCCTCTTTCGCTGCCCACGCGGGCGGCGTGGGTTTTGGGGTTTCGCTGAACTTGTCGCTAAATCTCGTCCGCGTCCCACTTGTCCGTCATGAACGGCTCACTAAGAACCGCTACGTCGAGGCAAACAAAAAATACTGGTGTATAGGCGTAGGGAACATCACTCCGCCACCCAAAAGCCGGAGTGATGATCCTGTTGTATAATCGCCGAGCACGTGGCTGCTTACACGAAGTGGTTTTCGCAGCTGTAGGCAGGCACGTGAGCCAAAAATTGATCTGTTTAAAAAAGCCGTGACGCAGCACACCCTGAGAGCTCAGCGGCTATGACGTTGCGCTCCTGGACAGGGTTGTATTAATACCACGCAAACCGATCCCGAATGTCCCAATCAAATCATTATTCTTTTTTCTTTAAATTAGCCACATCGCTTGGTTTGAGCGTTATCCTGGGAAACCTGTCGACGCTGTAACGTGATCGCACAGATGTTACTCTTCCGTACGCGCGCTCCATTTGTGCGACTATTTCGGTGCGTGCAATAAGCAATCGTGACCAGTTCGATCAAGGCCTCTCCGTGGTTTGCACAGATGTGTCGCGGCAGGGGTCCAGCTTCCACCGTGACTGACGGTAGCATGCGGATTTCGCCGCCGCGGAGCAGGTTCTTTTTTACCGGAGGCTTGGAGCGGATGCGCACGAAGCTAGCCAAAGTGTAGCGATGCCTTCCTCCTGCCAGGTCGTTGCGGCTCATTGCTCCGCGCTGTTTTTCCGGCTGCGTTCAGTGTGCGATGCAGCTTTTGTCGAGCCAAACGCGGCAGTCATGAGCGAAAAGGGGGTGAGCGCGGTCGTCGCTACAGCTTACGAAGCTTTTCTCTGCCATGCAGGGTTGGCGATGTTCTCGCGAAGCTGCATACAATCGTGCCGAACCAACGAAACAAACTCCGCCGCGGTGGTCTAGTGGCTAAGGTTGCTGACCCGCAGGTCGCGGGATCGAATCTCGGCTGCATTTCCGATGGAGGCGGAAATGTTGTGGGCCCGTGTGCTCAGATTCGGGTGCACGTTGAAGAAACGCCACGTGGTCGAAATTTCCGGAGCCCTCCAGTACGGCGTCTCTCGTAATCATATGGTGGTTTTGGGACGTTAAACCCAACATGTGAATCAATCAACGAACGCTATAATACGAGCCACGCCGTAGGGATCCGGTAATTTTGACCAGCTGGCGTTGTTTAACGTGCTCTGACGTAGCCGTCTCTCGATGGCCGCTGCAACCGGAATTGAACCCGCGACTTCCGAGTTACCAGCCGAGCGCCGTAACCAGTGCACCACAGATGCGTATATGCAGGGGGGTCCACTGTTAAATTGAACAGCGGAGCGCGTGTCGTCTGCTCGGGCAGTGAGCGCAAGGGGCGGTGCTGGTTTGTCGTCTGCTACAGTTGCGGTGCGGCCGAGGTCGGAAAATCTGTAGAGTAGCCGCTTTTCTTCGAGCTAGAAATGAAAATGACAGAAATGATCTATAATCAGATAACTATCCCCTGACTTATCAGCCGGATTGCCTTCTTGCGCTCTCCTTTCTGGTAAGATAAGGAATTGCCCCCTTCGAGAAAGCTTTCTGGTGTCGCCAGTTAAAGGCGGGTGTAAGTTATTTGTTCAGCTTACGCTCTGCAGCAGATCTCATCTCCATTAGGGCACATAAATATGCGTGCCACAAGGTAAAATATTCTTGATAAAGCTATGCTAGAAAAAAGGTGACCGTAAAAAAAAAAGAGGTCATGCTTTTTTTTTAGCCACCAAAAATATCAGTGAGGTAGTATGTTACATAATCTAATTTTCTTGAAACTTTCCCACAACTTTCCATCTGCGCTCGGCCATGCAGATTGCGGACAAACTTCAAAACGTGGGAATAGCTGGCTTCGCGACTAGCTGAAGCGCGGCCGCAACTGTAGCAGACGACAAACGAGCGCCGCCCACTGCGCCTGCGCAAAGCTAGTTGCCGGCCGGCACTGGTGCCGAACAGACGACTTGCGCTGCGGCGTTCATTTAACAGTGGACCCCCTCTGTACGCACTTTGAATTCCGTGTACCGTGTGCCAGAAGTTTGAAACTCAGGTTTTTTTTTTTTTTTTATCTAACCGTATGCGGGAATTGTCCGTACTGCCCAGTCGCTGTGGCATAAAGAGGGAGCATCTTTTGTTCAATAATGACATCTATTTGTTCCGACAATCGCTCCTGTTCTCCCCCCCCCCCACGTTGTAATTGAAGTTTTGGCTTGCTGCTTGATTATTCGGGAGATAATTCAAGAGACGCATAATTTTTAACCCGATCGAGCTCCTCGAGCAATTACATAACTGCTGTACTGTTAGTATGCTCTAATAGCTACTCATAGCGTGGCTCTCTCGAACGACCGAATGTATCGCACAAAATCCGCGATTTTTCGAATTCGTTCACTGCAAATACGGCCGTCATTTGGTACCTATGCCGAGTACCGGCTTGATTAATCTTGAAATCTATACAGTTGAAAGCTTGTAAAACAGCTGTTCTACAGCTAGCCTTTGAATTGGCGTGATATGTTTTGCACTTCAGTATAATTTCAGCTGTGGCATTAGTAATAATAATAACTGGGGTTTAACGCCCCAAAACCGCCATATCATTATGAGAGACGCCGTTGTGGAAGGCTCCGGATATTTCGACCCCCCTGTGGTTGTTTAGCATGCACCCAAAGCTGAGTACAAAGGGCCTACAGCATTTTCGCCTCCATTGAAAATGCAGCCACTACAGCCGAATGCTTTAATCTTGTGTAGCTTTAATAAGAAGTAGGGATCGATTTCATTTGCCTGAATTCGCACGCGAGCCACTGAAATTTTAGCGGAAGGTACCACTATGTTCGATTTTTGCCGAGCGCAGCTGATGCCTATCGGCGAGAGCTGTTTTGAAATTGCCTTTGCTAAGCATGAAATCTCATTAAAGGGGTCGTGAAACGCTCGCTCTAAAGCGACAATGTGAAGCCACCGGCGTCCGCACGCACCAACTAGGTGACGTCATCATAAGTAATTCTTTGCCTATAGAGAGACGCTGAACTTTTCGGTACTTGCGAGTGCGTACAACTGGGACGCTCATCAGCGTCTTTGTCATACGCAATCAGCGCTAACTTGAACTCTGACGTCATATCAAGCAGCGTCCTTGTGGGACGCGGATCGCGTATGGCAGACGCCGGTGAGCGCCGTTTGCAGGTCCACTCGGGCTGATAGTTAGCGCATGTGGCTGCCCTTGGTGCCGCATTGTCGTTGTAAAGCGACCATTTCACGACCCCTTTAATGTGCGAGCACTGTTGGACGGACTGAACGTAGTAAATTACCCCGGGGCCGGTGTTTGTCGGCGGCGCGCGCCGCCAGGTCGAGCGAGTCGTCGCAGGCGAGCGGCAGCCGGCGCGTCACGTGGGGCGCGTCCCTCTCTCGCCGTTGAGGAGACGCTCCCTGCGCGTGCGCAGTTCGCCCGTGACCCGCGCTCTGCTCTTCTTTGCAGTAGTCGAGTCCATTCTGAAGGGAGAGAGCATCGGGATTACGCCTCGCCGCCGAACGTGCACGCTCAACAGCCCGCACAAAGTCGTAAGTGAAAGCACTTCTTGTCTCCATTTGTTTTTGCTCTTTTTTTTTTGATCGCGACGATCTTGTGCGTTGTGGCCCCTGTGCGGACGATCGAGTGTGTGCGTGTGAGTGCCCGTGGATGTCGTCTGGATCCCTTGGCACGCTCATCCGAGGTTCCGTCTCCTTTGTGTGCATAGCGAGAGATCTGCCGGCTGGTCTGATTTCGCTGTTTCGATCGTGCTGTATCGGCGATCGGACTCGTTAAGCAAGCTCGTGCTGCGGACCGGCTGCGGACCTGCGCGGCGGTGTTCCACCCTCGACGGCCGCTTTGTGAGACGAGGTGCCCTGCTTCTGCACTATCACCGCCTCGGTTTCTCGTTCGTGCTTGTGTGTGTGCGGGCACGTTGTGTGTGTGTGTGTCGCCCGCCACTGTTTTCCTGTGTTCTCACATTCATTGTAGTTGTGCGCTGAGCTCCGATTCGTGAATTGATCGAAATTTGTCGGCTCCGCCCTCTACCACCTTCATTGATCAGTGCGCGTAAAGCGGCCGGTTTTCGCGTGACTTCCGAGAAGCTGAAACCGAGCAGCAATCATTGCACTAGAAAAAAAAAAAAACATAATCGCCAGCTTCTTGGCTCGGGCTTTTCTCTACGCGTCCGCGCTCCCTTTCCTGTTTTTGCCTACGAGGCAGGATACAGCGTAGGACTGCGACCTTGGTCTCGCCTTGGGATCGCATCGAGTTTTTGTTTAACATGGCTCCACGACGTCGTTTTATTTCGCCTTTATTTCTGATGGCCCCCGCTCGTAGCCATCCAGTCGCAGCGAAGCGTCAATCTCGTTGTACGTGCCTTAGTTTACACTTCTGGGGTGCCAGAAGTGAAACATCTGGGGCGCCAGAAGTGAAACTTCTGGGGCGCCAGTCGCTCCTGCCAGCGGTCAATCACTGTGAAGGTCTCTTCATCCAAGTGCACCAGTACGTTGCGACGAAGTCCAAAGGGTGGGGACAGTCGTAATCAGTTTGCTTCGAGGTGCGAGAGTCGAACTGAGCGCTGAAGGCAACAGTCGTCTGCTTCATGCGGTCGATACGAATCGGATATTGTTCCAGTTTAGAATTTGCCTTTTTAAAAACATGTAGCTCTTTTAATGTGTTTTTATTGAACTATGCTCGACTTTTTTGTTTATTGTGCTTTCAACAAGCTCGTCCAGGGGTTGCAGAAAAAAAAAAGCGAAATCTCGATCTTTCAGGCAGATCGCGATAGTCTTGATCTGGATCGCGCCTGATAGAGATTAAATGTGATCGTGTAGCAGCAGCTAATCCGGATCGTGGTTAATGCTGATCGACACTGATCGCGATTAAAAATGCCCGTGTGACGCCGGTATTAATTATATCGTTTTCTCGCCCTATAACAGACTTCATGGCGGCGAAAAATCTTTGCATGTATATTGTTTTACATAGTTTACATCCCTCGGTGCTTTTCTTATGCTACTAGTTGCTTGCATGCTGACAGTTTGCTGGCATTATATCAGTGGCTGGTATTATCTGGTATTTGCCAGCATCATTCCAATGGCATTGTCGATTCCCTTTTGGTCGATAGTCGTGCTCGCTGATAATCTGGTTTGACATCTCTCTTAGCTGATCCCTTCTATTGAGCCTACTGACTCCGAGGCTTGGCTACTTGACGGAGAGCTTGCGGTTTCAGCTTGTGTCGTAGATGATAAGCGCTCAGATTATCCGTCGGCAATTGGGGCTTGAGTTGACCTTGGTTTGCCCTTGGCGCGTACTCTTGTTTGGTGCAAGTGAGCGCGCGATCGGAAGTGGGAGCACGTCGCAGCAGCGCATGGCGGGATTTCGCAAGCGCTTGTTTAGCATTCGTCGCTGACGTGGGAGGAGCGCCTGGTCTGGCTCCCTTGGCGGAGCCCCGGTCCGGTTATTTTCGACCCGCTCTCCTGGAGCCCTGCGACTGTGCTAAAAGTGTTGGGCCAAGCGTTTTCCCGTGGCGAGCGGCCATTTGTTGTGAAGGTCAGCGTTCGTGGTGCGGTGGCGATAACGCCGCCAGTCTCGCTTTTCAGCGTTGACCAGAGGTTAACGACCCGGCCTTGACGTCCTTCTGGTTCCGGGCCAAGATGCTCAGATATTTGCGACGGTGCGTGCTAGGCTGTGCTGAATGGCCGACCTGTGTCGTGTGGATCGGTCTGATTTCTCCGACGCGCCCGGGTCGTTGACTCCTCAGCCGGAAGGCGCCGAAACTGGTTGTCCCAAACTGGTTCTGCGTCCAGCCTCCGGGAACGTGCGTCCCGACCCTTAGCCGACCACCCTGGGCCGTTCATGCGCCGACAGTGTTCAAGGTCTCGGATAATAAACGTGTCCCACTGTCCAGCGGTCGACGGCGTCGTTTTCTTCTCTACATCCATTGTGACGCATGTCACAAGGCATTCTCGAAACAAGGAGCCGCTTCGAGCTATTATTTTCATACCGAAAGCTGCGCCGTCACAACCACTGCACGCGCGCGGGCAAAAACCATTCGAATAACCTCGACCAGCGGAACGAGCCAAAAGGAGCGGAACACTCCTGCCTTTTTTTCCCTTTGCATAATGTAGAACTGATTATAAGGCGACACTTGCCCAGCATTTCTTTTTTAAGCCTTCGTGGTGCTCGTGCGCCTAAAGGGAAATTTAAAGAGTGTACGTTAGGCGTGCATCAAGGAAAGCTGTGTGGGAACACTGCGAAAATTTTTCTGTTGTGGCTCGATAGTCCGCTGAACTCTGCGTTGTGAATTTTTCGACAAGCGGACGCTATTTGTTTTGTTACTCGGGTGAAGAAGAACCAGTCAGGTACTTACACAAATGATTCGTCGAGGGTTTGTATGCAGGTTTTTCGAGGAGCTTCGTAAGGGTGGTACGAAAGCAGTGTTTTGTCCACAGCTGACGGGGCGCGTGGACAACACCTGCATCGCGTGAAAGGGTTACCTAGCTCGGAAGTGCTAGCAGGCGAAGCGGCTTTCCCGTGCGGCGAGGGTGTTGGCCGAGGAACAAAGGACCGTCCTCGATGGTCTGCGCACCAAACTGGTTTTTGCGCCGCTCCCACACTCCATATTCGGCGCAGCTCGCTTTTCGAGAAACGGGGTCACGTTCGGTGCGCCCAGCTTTTTCTTGCTGGCCTTCCCGCTCTCGGTAATGGCCGCCCTCCTCGACGCATCCATCTTGGATCCTGCACTTTCGTAACCCCGGCTCCTTTCAGCGCTGCGCCTTTGTTGTTTCACCCACGCAAGCGTGCGTTGACAATTCTTTCGAAAATACATGGCAGGATACGCCTCTTCACGTGTGCCAATGTGTAGAATGGTGTAAGTTTTATGTGCGCATGTTGTTCGATCATTCTAAACGGACATATTCACGATACATTGAGTTTCGGCGTTTTTTTTTTTTTCCTCGTCTATTCAGGGCCATTCTGCGACCAGGGGTCGTTACGTCAGCCCGGCGTCGTCCAGTCAGAGCGCGTGGCCAGCCACGTCGGCGAGCAGCCCACGTCGTGGGCGCAACAAACCCGACCCAACTTCGGATCCGCAGGAGGACCTCAAAGGTCTGTGATCTCGGGCTAACCTTCAGCCGAGCCCCGGTCGAACGCTGGATGCGAACCGTGGCTCTGCCGAAGCGTGCCGACCTGCTGTGTATTTTGTCTGCCAGAATGTTTCAGGGTCAGCGTCACGACCCCGCCTGACCTCGGCATCGTGACGCTGGCCCTTGTGATGTGCAGGCAAGTTTTGCGATATTTAGCACTTTCCTCGGTCGCCGTTTTAAAAGGAGGCAACGCGAGTGCTTGCCCTTTGATCAAGCTGTCTCTGGGCATTTTGAAGTGTTGAAAAGCTTTTTTTTTCTTTTTTTGGGGCGGGGGAGTAACAGCCGGCGTGGCGTCCTTAGTACCTCAATGCACTCCTCAATATCTCAATATTTGTCAATGCACGGCCCTCAATATCTGACTGCTTTCCATTGATGGGCCGTGGCCCTCGATATCCAAGGGCAGCGGTCATGAAACCCCCGCGATTGCCCACTCCCAGGTGACGCTGTCGTCTAGAAAATAGATGCGCTGTTTGTAGGAAAAAAGTGTACAAGTAAGGGCTCGTTTTTTTTTAATAATGAGATCTAACAGACAATCATGGCAAGGAAAGTATAGGGGGTGAGGTAATGTACAAATAAACAAAAATGGCATATCCCACGTACAGTGGGAATCGATGATGTACGAAGAACGAATGAGAAATGTTGATATGTCACTTCAAAACCAGCACAACGATACGAGATGGGAGTAAATGATGCCGTACATGACTTCCATGTGACGATTATCATGTTTGGATGTGGCGTTTACGTTCGTCATCTATTCACGTCACGTGATACCAAATTTAGGATATGTGGAGCTACGGAAACGGCCGTGAGCACGCTAGAGCGTGCTATGTTCGCATGTTCTTACATGAAACGCGTTTCACGATTAGCACCAGTCATATATTTCGTCATTCTTTGACGTCACGTTACACCAGTTTTGGCATATATGTGGAACTAGCAAAGCTGCCATGAGCGCCTCATGAAGGGGCCAATATACTCCAATGTAGCGTTGACGCGCGCGCACGCTGGGCACAGCGACGCTACGTTAGCAAGACGCGAGTCTAATGCCAGGCGTGACCAGCGTCCGGCGGCGCGAAATGCTGCATTTCGCACCGATGCGTTACCCAGACAACACTGCGTCTCCCTCTTTACGTGACGGAGGGACGCGTTGAAACGCGCATGCATCAAAGCAACGCAGCGCGCCTGGCGTGACGCGACGAAATGAACGCCGGCGAGCGCGTCGAAATGTATTGGCGCCTTGACTGTGGCATGTAGTAGTCTAGTTCTCACAAGACACGCGTCTCATCATGTTTGCACCAGTCACCTACCTTCGTCGTCCGTTGGCGTCACGTAATACCAAATTTGGCATATGTGAAGCTAGCGAAACGGCCGCGAGTGCATCGAAAGCGTAGCATGTAGTTTATGTTGTTACGTGACACGCATGTCGTGATTTTCATGTTAGGGTCTGTCGCTTGTGTTCGCCATGCAATCATGTCATACCATACCAGTTTTGCAACATGTCATGTGAACGAAACCACCGCAAGAATTGCAGGACCGTGAAATGTAAATCATGACATACATGTGACGATTTTCATGTTATGACTAGTTAAAGTGTTCTTCATACAGTCATGTTATGCCATACCAAGTTTGTTATCGATACCGTTACCGACACGGCCAGGGGAGCTAAAAGTCGTAGGCGGCTAGATATGCACGCTCAAAGTCGCCGAAGTTCGCTAAGAAATGCTTCGCATTTAAAAAGTGGTTAAACGATAACTTGTCGTGGGTATTTCGACGAGTGGCGTTGTACAAGTGTTCAACCGTGTATCGTCGCCTAGTACATGTGCACGTGTTTTCCCTATCTGGCTCTGTTCAAGAGCTAGCGCAGGCCAGGTGCAAGAACGCTCATATTGCTCGCAATGTAGGCCTAATATGACGGACACAACGAAGATGATAGACCCCGTGCTTTCTTTGGTCCGTCTTATTAACGCTACAGATGAAAGTAAACGGAGGTGTACCTGTTGGAAGTGTGTAGAGTTTTTGCGCGTGGTTACTGTAAAAAAAAAAAGTTCCAATTAGCTGGCGTCCGAATCCTCGGATATACCGGAAAGAATAGTGATAAGATCGCTTCAATAGTGCCCAAGCTGACTATACGGTTAAGGGTTCTGTGAGCGAGCTGGCTACCAGTCGCGCATACCATGCTCCTGCTAAGTGAATGCTCTTTGTGTTAATATCAGTCAATTCCACGAGTAGGTTTGCTCTTTTCAACGAGAAGTGCGTGTGACGCAGTTCAGTGTGGAGGTCGCATTCCAGGCTGGTACGGCGTTGTCTGTTCAGTGCATGGTGTGCGTACATACGTTCAGTCGTGGTTTCTGTCTCCGCCAGATGAAAGTGGCGTCCGGAAGTGGCTCGTGTATGTCTGTTCCGCGAAGTGTGACCTACGAAGCTCGCTTCTCGGAGGACTTATCGCACCGGAGGCACGTGGTAGCCATCCCCGGCACAATTCGATAAGCGTCGCTGTAAAGGCTGTGAGTCAACAGGCGCAGTTTTGTGCCTATGCGGTGTGGTTCGTAAGGAATAAGGCACCTAATTTCTGTCTGTTTCAGGGGCGACACGGCGCAGTGTGGGGGTGGGGAGGGATAAAAAGAAGGTGAAGAAATAGAGAGGCAAGCGACGGAAAATAGGAGGAAAGTGGGGATCCGGTCGAAGCAGGGCGGGGCACCACAATGCGAGAGCTGCACGGCGTCAGGAGACCGCGGAGGGCGAACCAGTCGGCGGGAGATCGCGAGGGCACGACCGTCCGGCTTGGAATCCTCCGAGCGCGGTGTGGGACTTGTTATGGCTTCAGTGGCTCCCGCGCCATTCTAGCAGCTTGGGCTAGTTGGTATGACGATAGCGCGAGAACGGAACGACGACACAGACGTCCTTCGTGTTTTCCTTGAGTCGTTCTGTTCTCGCGCTATCCGCATTCTAGCACCGAGATGCCTAGTCCCGCCTGTCTGAAGGATGATTTTTGAAGGCAGTCGTTTATTCCCGTATAACCGAGTGTGAAGTCGGGACTGCCACGAGGACAATGCCCCTTTGTCTTGTTTGTGTTCAAAATCGGCCATTCGAGCTTGGTAAAACGGACATGCGCGATTTAAGTAAGTCAGCTTAGGTATCTTTCCGCAACACGCGCAGTCGCTGATGTTTTCGCGCCGTACCATTGTTCATGCTCAGTGAAAAAGATTCACTGGCCTTGTTTACCAGCAAATGGTCGCGTCGGACTGATGGTAACCAAATGAAACACCCGCGTACCTCGCTTTAAGTGCACCAGGCGGTCAAAATTAAGCGGGCGGAGAGCCTCATAGATCGTATCTTGGCACGTAAAGAACCCTTAAGGTCATCGGGAAGGTTCTAGGAACCGCGAGTAAAGGGATCTTGCGAAACACTTTCATAGGACGCTGGTTTACTCGCTCTGAGTCGTAGTCCTTTACTGTACACCGAAACTACCGTGTGTGATTATATTCCTGTTCCGCACTGCGTGTACTAATGGCGCATTAGTAGAGTAGTGGACACATTGGATAAAAAACTTGAGAGGATTAGGTCTCGCCACCATTAGTACGATGCGCGGACAAATGCTATATTTTTCCTTTCTAGTGGACTAGCGTGCGATTGTAGCCTGGGTAAAATTTGATATGGAGCCGACCAGATCAAAAGTTTCCGTGTGACACCATCATGAAGCTGCATTCAGTCTCAACTTGCATCACACTTGAGTTCGTACGTCTGAAGCATGAATAAAGTTTGTTGGTGAGCCGAATTTCCTGATGAATTAGGGCTTGCTAAAATGACAGACATAAAGGGGGACTGACGCCATTTTTCGAAGGTGTCAACTCTGCCATGCAAATATCCTGTACACGGAGACGGCCCTGGGCGATCTTGAAGGGAATTTTCCCACGGCGGCACTTGCTAGCATCGATGCAAGCGTTTCAAGCATCGATGCAAGTTTTCATACCCCTTTAACGCTGATGACCTTTTTCTAATCATTTTTAAGTGGCGCCCATTCAAAAGAGCTGTTGCCTTTTATAATTTGTACCGGTAGTGTTTCAGCGGTACCTAAAGCGTTTTTGAGGCAAGTAGATCCACGCGTGTTCTCCGCATCGCTTCAGCACAACGCCGTTCGGGACGCACCCTGGCGTTGATGCGTCTGCTCGTAATTGGGAGGGGTTATACCTCGGGATATCGGCGGCCCTGTTGCCAGGCGGTCGGGGCCCGGGGTTCTCGGAGCGTCGTGCCCCCGCCGCGTCCTTGGTCGTGCGAGCAGTGACAGCGGCGGCCGTCGGAAAGCCCTCGCGCGCCAGTCGTCAGACGGGTTGTGACGTCATCGCATTCCTGCCGGCGGCGGCGGTCCGCGCTGCTTGCGCCTCGTTGTTCGTCTCTCGGATACCGTCTCGCACAGGTGAGTGCTGCAGGCGTGCGCTCGATAGCCGAGGCGGCACATGGGTCGCATGCGCCGTTTCCGCTTCGGATTCTACGTGTGTGGCCGTCTGCCCGTGAATTGTGCAGCAACGCTTCCTTTTTCGGCGACTCCGTGCTCGACAGCCCGGTTTGGCCGTGTTTCCTCAGGGGGCCTACTCCTCGTCGTTGTCGTCTGCAATCGCAGCTGTAGTCTCAATAGTTTGCTGCCTTTTCTCTACGCCAATCCAAGCTTTGAATATTTCACGTCTGGTAGCAATGTTACCTTAGTCCAAACCTGAAGCAATACCGCGGGTGTCACTAGCGTCAGTTTTCAGTTTTTTTTTTTTTGTTGCTCCGATTAAGGTATTGCATAAAGGAGGATGAATGGACCTTTCCAGAAATTAGCGCGCGCCACCTACGGCTGCTGCAAAGCATCATGGGATGCCGGAGCGTCGGCGCAGTGTCGTCTGCTCGCGGAAGCGTCGACTCACCTCGTTTCCCACAGCGTGCAGGAGTACGAACGCATCGTTTCGGGAATATCGGGCGTTTCAA